CCTCCCTCCCTCCCTCCCTCTTTCCCTCCTTCCTTTCTTTTTTTTTTTTCTCTTTTTCTTTTTTTTTAAGAGGCAGTCCAATGTCTTTGGGGGAATTGCTTATAAAGGTCATTTTACCCAGCAAACTGTTTCTCAGTGTGCGGCTTTCAAGGGGACTGTGAAGTTTTGCCCACAATGACAAGGGACTTGGCCTGAATTTAGTCACTGTTTAATCTTCAGCACCATTCAATCCCCCTGCATTGTGGGTTCCCTCACCTGTTAAAAGCAGGGTTGGGTGGGGGTTTCTCTAATAGCTCCAAGAAACAGCCTGAGATCCTGTGAAGAAGCTGTGTTGGCATGGGAGACTGAAGGTCTGAGCTTGGAGGAAGTGGGTCTAATACATTTAAGAGGAAATTGGGATTGAAAGAAACCACTGAGTGAAAAGAACAACCCAGCAAGAAAAGACAAACTTTCTCCCTCTTTACCTTTAAATCCTCTTTCCCCATGCTGCCTGCTTGGGTAACTGACAAAAAAAAAAGTAAAAAGCATGAAGCTGCTCTCCTAGGGCATGAGGGTCAGTAGGAAAATAAGTTAGAAGGTTCATAGGAAATGAATATTTTTTTAAGTATGTACAGGTAAGATTCAATATTATTTAAGGCCCATGCCGGCATGGGGGGGGTGAACTGATGGGATGGTCATTCATATATCCTGCAATTTTTTCAGTAAATGCATGGTGTTTGAAAGCCCATTTAGGACAGATTTCTTTCTTCACACTAATGGCCAGGCAGGGCTTTGATGTCAGGACTCCAAGGACCAGAGGCTCTTGGGTGGGGAGTGGTGACCTCTGGTGGAAGGAGAGAAGCCCACTAATGGACATTTCATTGCCCCTCCAGGGAATGGCTTCTTTTGTGATGGAAACCAACCGTTGGCTTTAATCCTGCCTGTGCTTCCTGAAATACTCAGGGTATTATAATATTAATATATTAAGTGGAGCCCTCAACACCCAGGGTGTTATGCTAAGCTAGAGCTCCCTTAGAAAGACCCTTGGTAACACAAAGAAACAGCAATCATTTGTCTTTCCAGGTGAAAAGAGCCAAGGCCCAGAGATGGAAGTAACCTACCTAAGATAACACAGTGAGCTGTAGTATCTCTGGAGCCTGAACCCTTGAATACAGATGTTTCACCCAGAGGCACCTGGAGGTCAGTGGAGACATGCCCAAGCAAACCTTTACAGAAGGTTCTGGGTGGTAAAGGCAAAATCGCTTTTCCTAAAAGCTTTGTCTTCCAGCCTCACAGATCATGGCTGCCAGACCCATCCTCACAGGATGAAAGGGAAGAAATGTTGGAGAGGAAAAAAAGGGATGTAAAGAAGCACACAAATCTCATGGCATCGTAGGATGAAAGAGAATATAGCTAGGAACATCCAATTTTTATTACTTTAGGGTTTGATTACCAAATAATCCTTAGATAATATGAGTGAAGGGGAATTCTCTTGGTCAGTTCGCTTGGTGCAAGGCATTGTTTTTTAATTCTATGTCTAAAGTCTTAAAGATGCTTATTTTCAAGCCCACGTTCTTAATGTGTAAAACATTATTTTCAAGCCCATGTTCTCAGTGGAGGTCTTTCCACCTTGGCTTTTTCTTACCTTTGCACTCACAGGTCCTGGGGTCCTGAGTTGGGGGGGCGCAGGATATATCTACCGCAAGTGAAGGTTGCTGTTCTTATAACTTTATGATTTAACAGCAACCCCTCATCTTTGCAGAGAATTGGATTTCCAAAAGCCTTTCCTCATCCCTTCTTTCATTTGAACCCCTCTCCCCAACAACCTTCTCAGGATGTTTGGGCCATATTTCTATACCCATTCGACAGCCGAGGAAACAGACATACTATATGAGTAAGTGACTTGTCCAGACTCCTCTATCAGGCAAATAGCAATACTGGAAGTCAGAATCCCTGGTCCTTTCTCCTTAAACTGCCCCAGGGCAGAGAGGCACTGGCCCTGAAGCTTGCATGAATGTATTACAGATTATTTCTATCTTGCCAGTGACCTAGGGGCAGAATTAACTTTTTATTATGCTCTCGGGAATGTCAATATTACACATGTGCCCCTGGTGCCTAGTTGTAAACATTTCAGCTGTATGCTGTGTGTTTAGTCCATCAGCCTTACCATGCCAGTGTATGCTTGGCAGAGAAATCATGACAATTTACAATGTCTACCTCCAAATCCGGTGCCATGGTACTTCGTTAGCAATGACCAGCCATAGGTCCAACACAGGGGAGGAAACTATAGTGATGGATACAGGGACAAAGGCCATAACACCTCCTCTGGAGAATAATCAGAGAAAGATCTAGGACTGGGGAGACTGGGTGATGGAAAGAGACAGGTCCAGGTCTGGAGACTGATGGAAATGATGGTTCCCAAGCATGTTAGGCTGCTCACAGTTCTGAAAACAGCACAGAGGGAATCTGACAAGCAGTTTTGCTGGTTTAGGGTCTTTTTTGTGTTTGTGCATCTTCTTTTTTCTCTTTCATATTCTGAGCTATCCTAGGCCTCCACCCTAAACTGCTGTGGATGGATGCAGGGATGGCATTTGCAATATTAAGTTACCACCGGCATGACACGGGCCCTGACCCACTGGAACAGACAGAGACAGAGCCGTCGGCCAGGCTCCTGGTGGCCCCCAGCTGGGCCAGATGGGAAACCTCCAGGTACAGTGTTGGATTGGGGGAAGGTCCAGCAGCCTGGGGAGGGGGTGGGCAGCCACAAGGAATTTCCAGTCTTCTTGTTGCTATGGCTATTTATCAACCAGAATAAAAGTATTTAAATATTTTAAAAACTGAAATAGTCTCACTGGTATATGCCCTTGTGTATGTCAAACCCGCAATTATCAAAACTGATGTCTGCTTGTCAAAGTATTCTCTTGACGGTTTCACTGAGTGGAAGCACATTGTCTCCATGCCTGCTGAGGTTCAGCTCTGAATCCTTCTGTTCACACAGCTTTGTTGACCTGCTACAGCATCATCTCTCCACATAGCCCCTCTCACTCTCCATGTGACCCCAATCACATTCTGATCGCCTTTGTTAGACATGGAAATATTCTAAGATATTCTTTGTTTCCTTGAAAGTTTTATTTTTCCCCCGCCCCGCTCCTCCATGTCCCCCCACCTCCGAACTGTTGTTCTCAGCTTAGTTGTGGAGGACGCCGCTCACTGGCCCATGTTGGTATTATGATCATTGTGCTCTTCCCGGCTGAGGCAGGTGGTTGCCAACAGTTGGCCAGCCACTCTCAGCAGCTCACAGCAGCAATCAGCTTGCTGGCTGTGGGCCACTCATGGCAGCCCAGCTCCAGGTCAGGCCGTTGTTCACAATCTTAGCTGTAGAGGGGGCAGCATCACTGGCCATGTGGGAATTGAACCGGCAACACTGTTCTTCAGAGCTCAGGTTCTTACCAACTGAGCTATCTGGCCGCCCTCCTTGGAAGTTTTTAACAGGGTAATTTCATAGTTGCCAAATCTGAGGTTTGCCTTAGACCAAGACTTGCTAGGGCCTAGAGCTAGCTGCCCTACTATTGTCATGAAGAAGGCGCTACTTGTTAGGTGGGGTCTTACTCTCTCAGAT